TCTGGGGAGCACTAGATCTGTTGTCCTCCCCAACGAAACCGCAGTAGGGAGTGAAGGTCTTCATCGCTCCATCGCGGTGAGTGAAGGTCTTCACCCCTCCATCGCTCCCTGGTGGATCTGTCCGAAGTAATGGTTAGACTCTTGTTTTGAAAGCCCCTCATCTGGATTGCAGAACCTCTCCACATGTCATATCCGGAGATTCTATCAATCAAGAGTCCACATGACACGTCTGTCTGTGTGTTGCTTCGTTCGCCATTCACACCATTGTTCATCCCGTCCATGTTTTCAAAACGGCTTGGACCCGGCGGGACTATGCCGCGGTTCGCTCTTGGACCATGCCGAGATGGGTGTTGGAGGGGGGGTTGGCAGGTCTGGGCGGTCGCGGTGAAGACCTCGCACCGGTCGCTGCCCATGGAGTTTTCCTCCATTTCTTCCCGCACGATCCGTTGCTCGGCAGAGTGTGTCGGCTGTCCAGTGTCCACCATGGCAGGACGAATTAGGACTCATTTGGAAAGAAGCGACCCCCCTTCTTCGTGCCCCCTTCTTCCTCCCTTCTTCGGCCCCCCGCAGCATGCACACACATTACATACAATACATGGTGATACATGCAGCTATCGCAGGACCACCCCCCCAAAAAAGAACATGAAAACATGGCGCTGGACCCTGTCCTCTCAAGGAGGTGACAAAGCGCGGCCCACGCCAAGGTCCTCTCCACCGGAGAATGCGTCATCTATCTCTTCTTCGGTGATTGCTTCTGAAATGCTCTGAGGCTCTGGCCACTCTGGCCATAGGAATTGAGGCCCTTCATGAGGGGCCCTAACTTCGGGACCGCGTCGACGGCGACCATGTTAGATCGGCGGCTCTTTTGGGGGGGTGCCCCCCCACACCGGCGGAAAGGGCTTGGCGGCCCCGGAGAAGGCCCAAATCGATTGATTAAGTTCTCCAAATGGGCCTTGGCCATCTGGGCCCCCCAAATGAATGGTCTAATTCAAGTTCCTCCATTGATTCTCCATAAAATCGCTCCTCCTGCTCTTTCTGCGTGTGAGCTCGTCGCCCAAGGCGACGCAACGGCCGCTCCCCACCTGCGCCCGCGCGCGCGCGCGCTTTCCCCGCCCAACCTCGCCCGCGCGATCGCAGCTCCTGCGACATTCCTTGATGAAGGCGCTCAACCTCAAAGCGTCACCTGAGGGGATCAGTACCGACCCACGAAGAGCCGAACCCGTGAGAGAGGCCGCAAAGCTACGGTGTCCATTCGGAGCCCCAAAGGCTCTATATTATATCCCTAGAAGTCTAAAGGCTATTTTCGGCGGCACCCAAGTAAAGGAAGTTCCTTTTCGGATCACCTAAAGACCGTTTTAAAAATGATCTTGGACTCCCAGCGTGTATATATATATATATATAGACCCTGGGAGTCCAAGACCATTGTTAATGGTCTTTAAGTGATCCGAAGAAGGAATTTCCTTGGCTTCGGTGTCCCAAAATCGTCCTTTGGACGGAATCGTGTGGGTAGGAGGTTTATACATGGTCCCACCCTCACCACCCTCGACCTATGGACCACCCTCGACCTTCGGGCCGTCTTCGTTTCAAGCCGTACGGTAGACGTCCGGGTCACGGGCCTGGCGTTAAACCTGGTCCTTGACGTACTGGGTTTTGCATGACCAACTCTCCAGTCGAATGAGGTCCGTAAGACCTGTAGGCAAGTGATGAACAGGATGATTGGGAAACTTGTTCATCACTGCGCTGGAATCGGAAACACCACATTGTGAAAGAACTACTGCTGGGAAATGCCACATCAGGATGAGTTAGGAACAACCTTGGAATTGGGGGAGCAAAACGGGTATTGTGCAAACACTTGTTTTCTTCCCAACTTCTCCAAACTTCAAGGGCCCCTTTTCCCATCCACCCCCTGCGATAGAAGATGGAGAGGCCGCTCGGCATGCTGCGCCGATCCGCCGCCCGCAGCGCGGCCGGCATCCGGCATCCGGGCCGCTTGGAGCCATGAATTCTACCGCTGGGAGGCTCAAGACTCAGATCTGGTGAGCCGATGGACCCTGAAAGCTTCGCGGGCACCGCCCGGCAGCAACACCGGGCAGGACCTGTCTTGGGGGCCAATGGGCACCGGCTCTTGGTAGACCTGCAGTGATCCCACCAAAATGATGTGTCTCCATTCAAACCACCTCCGCTAGCGTGCCGGCACATCGCTACCATCGGAAAGCCGGCTCTTGTCGCAAGGTGACGGCTTGAGAGTCCGGAAGTCATAAACCCTCTTCCGAGAACTTGAAGGAATATTTGTGCATCAGGACCTCACTACGACCCAAAGCAATGGCAAGAACATGACTTTAACCGAAGCGGCACTCATCAACACGACTCAAGAAGGTGCATCAGCCCAATGTTCAGGGGTGATTTGTCAGACCCAAAGTGAATGCTTGAGGATGTTTGAGGATCTAGGACCCCCCCCTCCGGCTTAACCTCCCTTCCCCGCACTTCTTTCCCACCCCTACTTCCGCTCAGACCACCAAAAGGGATCCACCCCGAGGATACTCCGACCGTGACCGCTCTCTCCTTCACCCCTGCGACTCCCCGGCCTCGGCGGCACCAAGGCGGACTTCCGCACCGAGGCCCCAGACGCCGGGCTCAAGGTCTGCGAGCGAAGGCGCGCCACGTCACGCGCGGGCGGCAAGACGGCCGGTGGGTGGGACGGTGGTCCCACCCGGCGGTGCTCCATGAAAACGGCGATGGTGAGTGGATGATGTAGAATTGGAAGGGAGTAGGGAGTAGACCCCTACTCGACTCGTTAAACAATCGCAAGCATAGCCCCTGGAAGTCCAAAGACTATACTTTCCCTGAGTGAAGTAAAGGAAATTCCCTTTCAGGTTCCATAAAGATGCTTTTTTGTATAGTCTTTGACTTGCAGGGATTTTGTAGATGCCTTGCCCGGGGGTGGACTGCCCCCTGCTTCCAGGCTGGCATCTGGAAGGGGATACTTGGACCCCATGACATGACCAGCGGGGCAGCATGACCATCTAGTTTCGTTGGGTGCCCCCGGCTGCACTGCTTCTTCATCAGACCACAGACCGGAAACGATTCATGGACGACCTTGGATGGTGCGGGGGTTGGGCCAGGCCCTGAGGTGCCCCTGTGGAAGTTCCCCACGAACGGAACTCGCAGTGAAAACGACTGGTTCAACGACTGGCACATATCTATCTATATATCTATACTCAATTGGATGAGAAAAACGAAAAAAAAAAAAAAAACACATCCAGGACCTTCCAAGCGATGTCTAGCCTCTGTCCACAGCTCTGGTGTCCACTGTCCACATGTTAGACCAGACTCGTCCACCCGTCGACCCCTAAGAATTCCCCCAGTAGACCCTATAGGTAGTCGAAGGATGTTGAGGGTGTCCATTTTTTCACCATCGCTACGTTCGGAGCTTCTTGTGACTAGTAGTACTGGCCTCCAACCTACTAGAGATGGCCTCAACCTAGTAGCTTCTTGTTACTAGTAGTAAGGCCCTTGCTCCTAGTAGCGATGCACTTGTTCCTAGTAGCGATGCCAGGAGCCCCTAGTAGCTTCTTGTTACTAGCGATCAAAGAGAGTCCACAGACCCACCCATCGGCCACCGGTCGGCGCCTTGGCCTCGCGGCTCGGCGGTCGCGACGACCCAGAGCGCTTGCTGTTCGTCCGCGGCTCCGGCGTCGGCGTCGTCACCCGAACGACGGGGGGCGCCAAAGTGGTAGACGTTTCACCTGGGGAAGCAGCGTTCATCGAGGTCAGTGAGGTGAGCGAGATCTGGTAAGACCGAGATGTCTTTTTTGATAAGGATCCTCCCAAAGCTTCAGTTCCGTGACCTTTCACTTGAGATCTCAGGATGTCACGACAAACGAGAAAGAGACACCAAAGAAAGACTTTGAAGGTCCTGGTCCACCTCTGGACCGCCGGTGGGAATTTGAATGGCCGCGATGATGCGGGAGTGAGCAATCCTCAAGCACTTCGGTACCACAAGCAATACATGGGCAAAAACACCTTGTTGGAGGCCTGTTGACTTTTGGGACCTGCCCTGCCTCAAATCTGATGATCTATCGACTATCGATGATCTATCTCTGAAATCCGTCCCAGGCCAACTACACACTGTAAGTCGACATCATGTGCGTGCCTTCTCGCTATGCGTGCCTTTAGGATACACCCATGCTGCCCATGGGACCCATGCAGACACACCTTCGGCTCCTCCCCCACCTCCCCACGGGCTTAACCGGCCGAACCACCGGGCGCCTTTCTCGTCATCTCCCATGAAGGCGCTCGCTTCAAGCGAGGCCCCCGTTTGGGTGAGACCACGCCCCACGGCTAGGAGCGGAACGGCGGCGCCGAGCAGCGCGGGTACGGCGCGGAGCCGAACATGTAGGAAGCACCGGGGCACCGGAGGCGGAAGTGAACCGGGCACCGGAGGCATGGTGACTTCTGGAATCCTTTCAGCCTCATTTCCAGCCTCACTTCCAGCCTCAAAAGGAACACAGGAACGTTGAGACGTGAAGAGTGTAGGAACGAGAGTTGCTAGCCATGATGAACCACGGAGATCTACTATTGGAATCTTCGCCTCAAAAAGTTGCAGTGCTCTGACACATCCCCACCTACCTCGAATCTTGAAATACCTCGAGTGGCCCCTGTTTTGGGCCCATCTTCAGATCAGTTTTGGGCCCTGCGTGCCACACTTATATTGATTTCCACTGTGAGCGCAAATGGTGTTGATTCATTGGGGCCATGGGCTTTACCTGCAGGTTGTGCCGGGACAGTGCTCCTGTGGCAAAGGGATCACTTGCACAAATGGATCACTTGCGCAAACTGTTGCCCATTCCTGCTGCTCCACTCCCCTCCTCCTCGAAGGCCCCAGGGTCGCGCAACAAAAGCAACCAGGAGTCACATGTCGGGGTGTTTTCTTGTCACTAAGTGAGTGGATCATGGGCACCCCTGTCCTCCAATACGCCTTCCTGGAACATCGCTCCTTTTGTGGCCGAACCTCCCTCCGCGCGCGTTGAACATCCGCGCGCGGTCAGAGGAAGGCATCGAGCTTTGCGATGCCTCATGAAGTGGACAAGACCTTGAAGACCTGGAGTGAAGAACGTGGGCTCTTGTGGCTGGCGTCCCGCAAGTTCGAAGCCACGACGCAGACAGGTGACAGATGGTGACAAAGGCACAGCCTGTCGTGGTGAAAGCCTATATTTGGGACCGACCGAAGTAGAAGAAATGGCAGGTCGCCGAAAGACAATTCTGTTGATAGTCTTTGACTCCCAGGGCATAGCTGCCATCTCAACTTGGCTGGAATCTTGCTACCAGGAGCCTGGAGCCCTGGAAAGAACCACGAGGTTTTGAATGAAACATCCCGTCGCACCTAAGTCAACAATTTGACAACACAAACCCCTCCCACAAACCATCATAAGGCTACCACTTTGGATCTACAGTAAGCTGAGTTAGCTCCATTCGAAACCACCTCAACCCGTCATCCGGGATGCCCGGGCCCACTGAAGGCTTCCAAGGCTGCCGGGGCCTTGCAGAGAGGAGTCCGTCGGACGCGGACAAACGAACCTTCCGCGCGCCCGGCGTGGGTTTTCCGCGGCCCCCCCCGGGTTCTGGAAGCGATCGATCGGACCCTTGAAGTGGATTGGATTGGCTGTTTGCTGCCGAAAAAGGAACTCACCGGAAAACATTGAACATGATCTGTGGGACGCTTGGGGTTGTCCTTGGTCACCTAACCAGTGCAGTGGTTGAGTGAGTGCACTGGCTGTCGCGGGTAGAAACTAGCTCGCTGGCAAATTCCGAGTGCACCACCAGTAGGAACATGGGTTTTGAACGGCAGTCGCAAAACAGGGTATCACAGCCAGGACCTGATCAGTAGTGCACCTAGACCACCAAACCAGGGGGCCGCATACTTATTAGTTGGGTCCCACAAATTCCCCCTTTTGATCAACACAACATGAGGCAACTCTTAATCGACCAAGCCATCCACGTCTTCATCGATGTTCCTTCTCCGTCCCCGGTCTGCACGCGTCGCACCCTCCGGGTGGCTGGAGTCCTCGGAGCCTCCGGGCATCCACGAAGCGGAGCGAGAGGCCCATTTCGGTGGAGACGAGAAGGGGAGAAGGGGACAGAAAGATTTATATATATACCAGGGCCCCCCAAGGGGTGGTTAGTGGATACCCCGAATCACCTCTAAGGAGCTATAATTAGACACCTGTTAGGGGGCCCTGGTATATCCTCTAAGGAGCTATAATTAGACACCCCTTAGGGGGGCCTGGTGTATATATATATATATATAATGTACCCTCCACCTCAAAAGGACCAGTTTTACGAGGTCCTGCTGTAAACGACCCAGTTTTACAAGGTCACATTTTCTTTGAGCTTCAACAACTTTCAGGTCACCATTTCCACGGAAGACTCTTTGGGCATTAAGGTCACCACTTCCACACAAATTTCTTTGGGCATTAAGGTCATTTCCATGGAACATTCTTTTGGGTTCGATGGTCCTTATACATGCATACCGGAGACATGGTACCCATACGCTCACTTTTAGCGGCGCCATGCCTTTCGCAAGTCCACGTGTGCCAATCTTTTCTTGGTGTATTGTCTTTTTTGCGCACGTTGTTTGCTCAATTGACCAATTACATTGCCATGATATACGTGGCTACGTGGGAGTCATGTTTGCTGCTTGCAATTGGACGCGTGCATTGTTCAAGCCGATGACAGTTCGTCGTCAAATCGCATTAGAAGCTTGCAGGTCTCATGCTATAGAGTCACGCTAGAGTCACGCCCAATGATGTCCATGGCGAAGTTTTTGACGTCCTTTACTAAGTAAAGGACGTCAAACACTTCGTGGTTTAGGTGGGAGTCACGCGAGAGTCACGGTAGAGTCACGGTCCCATGCCCGGGCCAGAAACGGCGAATTTCGGCCACATGCGTTGTCTGTGTTGTAACGCATCGACCTTGCTTCATATTAAAAGATCTAGCAGCCTGGGCGCCACTTATATGATATGCATGTGCTTGTTCCCACAAATATTTTGTCTGTGCGATGTTCGCGCGAAACGGAAACGGAAAGTAGAGCAAAACGCTCCTGGAAGCCATTGGTGCAGCATGTTGAATCACAATCATCGTGCCATGTATATGTGCACCATATATGCATAAAGTAAAAGACGTCTTTTACTTTTACCATTTGCCAAGTAAAAGACGTCTTTCACTAAGTGAAAAAGTCTTTTACTTCTTATAGTTGCCGAAGTAAAAGACGTCCTTTACGGAGTAAAGTCGGGCTTTCCACCATTTCCACGACAAGTTTTTGGAGGTCGAATTTTGCTATCAGTTTTGCAGAAAATAGAGCCCAGTAAAACGAGGCCTTTGATTTGGAGGGATATATATATAATTATGGGAGAATCTGGGAGAGCTTTTTGTGGATCAAAATTCGGGTAGACCCTGTTGGATCAGAGATAATGAACAAAATGGATTACCAGGAAGGTCAACCTACCAGGGTTTGGAGCTCCAGGGAGCTCCAATCCACTGCCATAGAACCCATGCAGGAAGATGCAGAGATCATCACATCCGGCTTTTCCCCTGAGCTCAGCTAGTGACTAGTGCAAGACTGTGACTATGCCAGATTCGTGCTGAGCTGAAGGAAAACGTGCCACAGTGGTTGTTATGTTTGTACTTGATCGCCCTCAGAAGGAGTCCGTGTCAAACGTTTGATCACCTTTTGAGCTCCAACTGTTTGATGAAATGCACCCGCAAATCGATGGACTTGTGGACCTGGCTCAGTCGCCAGAAGCGGCTCGAGCCCTCGCCTGTGTACAGGATCAGCACGTCCGCATGCTGCAAGCGCACAGGAACGTGCCCCGGCCTTGGAGAGGTGACTGTGGCCAAGGCAGGCCCGGCAGGGCAGAGCATCTCAAGTAACTGATTGACTCAACGAGCAGCACGTCACCCACCAAGCGTTGCACAAAGACCGTGGGTTTCAAGTAACTGATTGATCCACGAAACGTTGAGGGGTAGCGCCTTCAGTTCAGCACCTAGACCTCGGTGGTGACCATGGTGGCTCCATGGAGACCGACCCTCGGACTCTCTGGAAAGCCGGTCTCGGGACACGAACCGAGAGGAACTGGTTCGTTAGCTTCAGCTTGAAGACCGTGCTACCAGTGTTGCACGCTGTTCGAAAACCTATCAAACGTCAGCTCACCTACTCACTGCTCGATTTCTACATTTCTGTGGTCAGCACATCTACAGTCTTCGGACAAGTTCACACTGAAGCGACTTCCTCGCACCCCCAACAGTTCTGCCACCAAGGTGAGGGGCAATCCAATCAACTCCATGGAACCTAGAAACTCCATGGAACCTGCTTCCATGGACAGGATTTGTGCGCTTTTCAGGTCATGGATCCAACCTCGGGGGGCCACCTGGTGCGGCCCAGGGCCCAGACTCCAAGAGCTGAAGCCTTTCGGACGCCGGGGAAGCGAGTCGGAGCGAGTCAGCAGGCAGGGGAGTCGGCGCGAGTCCTGTGATCCTACGAACAGCTGGTGTCAAACAAATGGTTTGGGGCTATAAGCCGTGCTACTTTGGAAGGGGTTTCACCCAGGACTCCAACTAGTTTGGGAACGGCAATGAAACCATATGCAACCTGTGGGTGCTGCGCGAGCGTCCCCAAGCGGAACGGGAAAGCGGTGTCCGCGTCCCCAACGAATCTTCTTTCAGAGACTCTGCCGGTTGTCCAGGGCAGCAATGAGCTGAAAACCGGCAATCGAAAAGGGAACAGCGATGAAAACCGGCCTTCTGGCACCGGGGTTCCAATGGGTTCCAATGGGTTCCCATGGGTTCCAATGGGTTCCAATGGGTTCCCATGGGTTCCCACGTCTTGCATGCTTGTGAATGCATCCACTCGAGAGGGATTCGGGGAATCGGCACTCCACCGCGCTCCGTGGCACACACAGAAAGCTGCTTCCCACCTTGAACCCCGCGAGTGCCACATGGGATTCTGGCCTCGGCGCAGAATAAGAGAGGGGCCCGGTTTGCGAGAGCCCAGCTTGAAACTGCTTGAGCAGGGTTATCAAGAGCGCATAAAGATAGAGAGAGAATGCTATTCTTGTGTAATGAATCATGCATGACTAAAAATATAGAGACCCTGAGAAAACATCACAACACCCAAGATGTGCAGGAGCTTATTAATTTCCATCCAAGGATGCTTGTGGTAGGGTTAAAGCATCTACGTTGGCCCAATGTGAGCATTGTAGGAATCTGGGAAGGCATGTTCCACTGCCATGTGCATGCAACATGGGTTGTGAAAGTAGTGCACGTGGGTCAGCGCGCTGGCCATATTTTGTATGTAGGTCAGCACTCTGGCATCCTGGTTGGCCCACTGCCACACACTACCAGTTGAGGCTCCCCGGCTCAAGGCAGACACTGCGAAGTGTCCATCGCGGCCTGCCCTCACCAAGTCGGCTGACAGGTCACCGTTCTTACCCAAACCCAGTCACACTCAGTAGTACATAGTCAAGGTCAACACGGAACCCTGCTCATTGTCGGTCAAGGTCCTGGCCAACACACTCCACCCACACGACCACCAAACGCCAACTGTTCACTGTCGTTGGCCACCACACACATAAGCTCACATGCCCATATACAGCGAAACAGCTCCACCCTGGTGAGGATTCTGCCAAAAACCCTCCGCAGAATCCCAGCGGAAAGGAGGGGTCCCAACCCCAAGTGTTCCCATGCATGTGACATGTGTCATGTTGTTAAAATATCTCATCACTATGCGGGAGGAAAAAGAAACTTTTTTCAATGCTTGGGGGCGCCAGTGCGCCATGTCTCCACCGCTGCTTCTTCTTCCGCTGGGTGCGGCGCTTCACGGTGAAGTGGTCCCTGCTCACGTACCTGGCGCCAGGTACGAGGTGGTCCCACACCCCCAGGAGCCCATCGTCGGAAATGGAGTACCCAACATACTCAACTATGACTATATGACTATACCTTTATCTGGTGGGTGGCTTCGACTCACTTGAAAAATCTGGTTCAATCATCCCAAGTGAAGGTTGAAAACAAACATATCCGCAAAAAAAAAATAAAACACCCTTTATGTCTTCTCGGTCGGTCGGAGACTCCTGACTGCAGCCCGGACACTCCAGAACTCCGTCCACAAACCTCGGCCACGGCGGTGGCAAGGTCTAAGGCGAGGTTTAAGGGTCTTGCAGGGCTTGAAACCGGAGCCCTGTATCCGGCTGAGTTCAATCGACCAAGAAAAACACGCTGAGTCACGTTCCCATGGGAAGTGGTAGGGTTTTTTGGGTTGGAAAACTCTTCGCCTAGCTTCGCTTCGCTTCGCGACCCGACTTCCGAAGGAGTCAGCCCGGAACGGTCCTTTTTGGGACCACCGTGGCCGGGGTACGTTGCGGTGAGCGAAACAGCGCGTGCGCGGATGAAGGACACATCACATCTGGGTCGGTATCTGTATAGACCACCATGTCCGCCCAAGGCCCAAGGCCCGGGGTTCGCACTGCACGAGGGAGGTCGAAAACACTCAAGCGACCGCATCCGAAACCGTATGAAGCCATCTTCCATCCCAAGCGCCACTGGGCGACCGTGGTCGGCACCCGGATTCCTGCAGCCCAAGAAACGCTTTCTCATGAAGCTCTCGCTGGTGCGCCCGGCCCACAGAAATCCCTCCACGACGGCGCGGATTTCCGGCGCCAGGACTGGGAGAGGGAACCCTGCAACTTCATCCAACTTCCATCCAGCTTCAAGTCTTCTTTGGCGCACTTCCTGTGTCCACTACCCCCTATCAATATCTATCAACGGAAAAAGGCCTTGCCATGTGTCACAGTATGTCATTCTGCGTGGCTGGCCCAATGCATGTCTTCATATTGCTTACTCACATCAGAACCACCCCATCGGCGCCCACCAACCTCGCCCACACTCACGGCCTCCTTCATGTCCATCGATGACCCGCAAGGCAGGCGCCAAACCCTGGGCCCAAGTCTTCCATAGCGTTTCCATTGTATATACTTGCAGGACTAGGATTCTTATAGGATCTTAGGACTACTTGTAGGACTACTTGAGTCCTACTTGCAGGACTACTTGTAGGATCTTGTAGGCAAATCATGTGCGCGAGAATCCTGAGAAGCCTAGGAGATCGCCACGTCTGCTTCTTCGTTTGTCGCTCGATCTTGGTCACGTTCCCCACTCTCCCAGAATCCCCGGACATGGCGAGATGCCCAAGACCGGCACCGTTCAGGGCCGCGCGCCTTTCACACCGACATCGAAACCAACGGCGCTCAGCCCCGCCGCCTTCACCACCGCCGAGCCCGCGAGGATCAATTGGAAGGGCCTCGGTGTCCCCCCGAGACCGGCGAACCAGGCGCGGTCACCAGCCAACGCCAGCACAGGGGTCTCCCATTAGAGTATATAGGGTTTATTGAAGGCCACGGCCAGGTCCTGCTAGAACATCCTGGATGAAAAACAATGGAAGTCGCTGATCATCGCGACTTGACTCTTGCTTTTTGGGGCTTTGGGCTACTCCTCTCAGAGAAAAAACTTCTTGGTTCCCTTCTGAGACCTGCACGGCCGTGCTGAAGGCCGTGCGGAAGGCCATGCGGATGCCGCGTCGGGCACGTCCTGCGCCGAGTCCTTGCGGAAGCGTTTCGATCCAGTCAGCGACATGTCGTTGTGTTCAGAACCCTTTGAACCAGTTGATTTGAGTTCTGCTTGATGCCCCACGTACACCACCACCCCCTGCGGCCTTCCGGAACAGCGACGATGCCGGCAGCGTGGAAAACGCCCGGCTCAGTGAGCCGCCGGAGCGCGTGGCTGGCGCGCCCAGCCACAGGAGGCCTCGGAAGAAAACGCGCCCTTCGCCGAACGAACGGCGCGAGAGCCCGAAACATGCGCAAAGGAACGGGGCATCCGGGCGGAAGCTCAAATAAGGCGCCACACCGCCATGCCCATCCTGCACGTGGGGGGGGCGGGCAGCGGCCGGCGTGCACGGACCAACGGATGCACGGATAAGGGGTGACGAGTTGTTTGTTGTGGGAACCTAATCTCAGCTTATTGAAAGCAGCAACTCTCCAATCCAATAGGTATTGCGGCATGATATTCACACAATTATACAGTCGCATGTATATATAGACCCCACAGAAGTATCAAACGCTGGGGGCCCATCAGAACTCATCACCAATTCAATCACACCATGACACCAGCACCATTCCCTTTTCTTAAAGCACCAGCTAAGCGATGCTCAACAAAGCCCACATGGTTGGTTTCCAAAATGTTTTTTTCCCCAAATGGTGCACCCATCGCAATTCCATGGGGGCCCGCTTCTAAGTCTCCTTTGAACTCCAACCACACTCAAAGCACAGGGGTGTTAAACATGAAGGCATGTCAACTGCAAAAACTGTGAGAGGTGTCTACCGCGGACCTTTTCAGGGGCCTGTTGAGCTGCTGGAGCTGTTGTTGTTGCTGCTACTGCTGCTGCTAGACTTCTGCAGTTGTTTCCAATGTTTAGTTCTCAGAAACCTTCAGAAGGACATAGGAAGGACGTAAAAAATGACTCAAAAGATTTGGGTTTTGGATGGGCAGATGGTCAAGAAATGGACCGCCGTCGTCTAGCGCGGTGCTAGCGCGGATCTAGCGCCAGCCTAGCGCAAAAATATCCGTCGATTTCTTTATGATGTCAGATTTTGATTTTTCCTGCTTGCTTGACTGCTTCTTGTTGTGCATGATTCTTCTTATTTGTCTTCTTGTTTGTTTGTCCTTTTTCTTGTCTTGTTTCCTCTTTGTCCTGCTCTCTGCTTGTTTCTTCTTTTTCCTACTTGCTTATCCTGTTATGAAGAAACCTAGCGCCAACCTAGCGCCAATCTAGCGCTGCCTTGCTGTATCACCATAGTCTGCTCGGGGCCCGCTTCTAAACGAAGACTTAAAAATACATCTCCAACCTTAAAAGTTTACGTGTATATAGTTTTTTGAGTAGGGCTTTTTGAGCGCAGTCCACATAGGTGTTGTCAACCCTCAAGAACCCACATCATGTGGACCCAGATTGACCATTCGGCTAGGAGTCTAGGAGGGCTTGATTCATCCATCAACGCCGTTCCGTCCCTTCGCTCCCTTCCGTGCCACAGCCCCACTCGCCTCGCCCAGGAGATTGATGGTCTCCCCGACCTGCGGAGTAGAAACCGACCAAAGCGGCATGACATGAGGTGGACAGGGGCGAATCTGGGACAGGGGGGAAGGGGGAAAGCTTTTCACCTTCTCCCCAATTCGTTCCCTATGTTTGACCACGTCCGGCAGGTTCTAGATGTGATCTGGATGATCATAGGATATCATGGGAGCATAAAGCCAGCGATGCCCAGTGCGAATAGTTAAAAGCCTACAACGTTCACCTTGGCAATTCAGAGGTAGGCGACACGGTGACACTGTTGCCAAATTCCAACGCAAATCCACTGGTTCCACTCGTCTTTCGAAGTTGCACTGTATGAGCAAAATCTATTGAAATATACACAAGCAATGCTCTGCATTAAGACGGCAAAAGCGAAGGCGATCGATTGAGATGTTGGTTTCCTCCTTGCCACCCCCTTTGTGCCACAAAATGATCCCTAGGTCATCTAGATCGCCCCTTGTGCTTTACAGCCTTCCCCCCCCCGACATCCAGAACCCATGCCCTCGGCCCTCGCCTGAGCCACGTGCTTCTGACCCTCCGAGAGCTGTTCGCCCGCCACGGAGATGGGGTTATGGCCTCGAAGGCGCGCCAGGGAGAACGCGAGGGAGCAGCAGAGTGGGACGGGAAGCCTGGGTGAGGACTAGCAGACCGTTTTGAAGAACATGGAAAAAAGGCGGTGGTTTCAGGATGGATGGATGGATGGATGGATGGATGGGTTGAAAACCCTACCATCCTCACTCCCCTGAGGCTTCGCACTGCAGTTCATCACCTCAAAGCTTTGCCTGGAAGGAGCACCTTCTCCCGACGCCGCTCCCACTGCCACCACCTGATGCGCATGACCCGAGAATATCGTTGGCACCCCGAGTGGTACCACCCCGGCCGATGCCAGGTGTTTGACTGGTCAATGTCCAAAGGAGAATAGGAAAAAGAAAAACAATCTGAATTCCCACAATCTGATCGAATTGTTAAAATTCTGACGTATTGATGGATTTTCCTTGACAGTCATGTGGGCCTGTCTCAGAATGATGCGACATGATGTCATCTTGCACAGTGCTGGTTGATTTGTGATTGACACCCGAGTAGGTTGATTTGTAGTTGATTTGCAGCATGGCCCTGGGCGAGGAGAAATTGTCCTTCTTGGTGCTCCTCAAGCAGAAATGGAGCAATCCAAAACAATTAATGAGAAAATTGTTCCTGAAATGGAAGTGGATGGGCAAAAGGATGATGACCCTTTTCTGAAGAGCATAGAAGGTCGTGGTTTTCCGCTTCCATGATGACTTCAGGGAGTGCATGCCTCATGGTGATGATAGCTAGCTATCGTGGTGCAATCCTTGAACACTCACATTCAGAACTGACCAGCTTCTTCATCACTGCAGCTCGGCGTCGCCCTGTGGTACCCCCTGCGCCGGCCTGCAGGTGCCTCCTGGAAATGAAGGGAAGGAACCTGGGTGCGAGCGACCCTGGCCGAAAGGACGCTCCACAAATGAAACCCATAGGAGAAGCGTCCCGGAACACGGCGGCGTGTATTCTTTTTGGTTTGGCGGGTTATATAATTGTTGAACGACGAAAAGTTCTCACAACGACCCAAGCAAAACATCAATGTAGGTTTTGTTTCTTGCTCTCCTCCTTCATCTTCCGCGATGTGCCAACCCAGTAACGGCTGAGCTCCCGCGAAGCGCTGGAGCTTGTCGAAGTAGCTGGGATGGCTCATCCGGCCAATGTAGTTCGGCCCTCGAACAGTGTCAGCGTGAGCACACGGGTTCTTAGTTCCATGCATTGTCGGTCTGTGAAACAACTAAAATGGAGAATATGGAGACACTGATGGAGCAGTAGTTGGGCCAAACCACAACCCAAAGGTTTCGGAACCAAATGGGGTTCTCCTTCTCCTGCGCGCCTTCCGTCGACAGCGGGATGCGCCGATCCTGGGTTTGTCAAGGATGGAAAGTATGAAGCAAATTGATGCAAATTGGTAGGGCAGCATGAACCAGTTGCCCTCTCGGACGCTCTCTTCTCAAATTTTGCACTGGCAGACCGTGCATCAAAAATCCGGAAACATATGCCGGGGGCCGGGGGACCCTTATGCTGACAGCCATAGCAGCCCTTTTCCAGGGCAGGAAGGTCATTCCGTCTCACCACCGATGCGCCGGCTTCGCCCAGTGGCTTTGGGCGATTCAGCGGACCTATCCTTTCAGCCCCGTCGCTGTTTGGAGGTCTACCTCTAAGATGGCTCGGAAGAACAGGCCCGCACACCGGTCGGCCCCGCACACCTCCTTTGGCACGTAATCAGCCGCCTCTCCTGCATCGGTCAGCATGGACCAGGGCTTTGGAAGGTCAACGAATCCCAAAAGCGTTCAACTGTTCCAAAGCCGTAAATCTGACGCGCAAAATCTTCAGTTTCGGTGTCCAACATAAAAGATGTAGAGCAGTTAACGTATATTCCATTCACGTCACAATTCATTTTTCATGATCTCGACACTGCGCAGCTGATTGGTCATCAGCTTCGCTTTTGCATCGTTGCACAACCCGTGTGCAAACAAAGATGTGTTGTGTTGCATGAGTTCTAGGCTCGAGCAAATTGCTGTTCCTGAGACCTTTCCTACTTGCCCTCGTGCGCATTTGCTTCGGCCTCGATCTGGGCCACAGTCGATCTGTGCAAGCTGTGTGCTTCCCCTTGCAAACAAAAAGTGCCTGCTGCAAAGGTCGTACCTTGGCTTAGATGTAAAGGAGCTGATTTCAGCAACCTCTGAGCTCCGCACTCTCGTGGACTTCACCTACCTTGGGTGATCCTTAGGGCCGCTACTCTTGGGTGTGACTGAAAAAGCCCCAAGCTGACGGCTTGGGGTCCACATGCCATTCAGCTTCTTGCTGCGGTTTTTGCTGCTTCATGTGCTGCCTCCCAGCAGGTGGGCGCGGCGTGGTCGCGGCGGTTCGCTCCTAGGAGCTCCTCACATTGCAAGGCATAGCTGCTGGCCGGGCCTCGGTTCGCCAAGGGTTCGGGGGGGTGAAGAGCGCCCGAAGCGCCCGAACGAAACGGCTGAGATTGGAGAGATGGACTGATCATAGCCTAATTGCGGGTAGATTAAGAAGTATGATGTATAAAACCGCGACAGAAGAGCCCCGAAGGACATTGCCCACAACTCAAAAGAAAACCCGCCCAGAGTGGTCTTCTGCTGGCTGACGCTTAAGCAGGACCATGCTCCACGGAACATCATGTTCGTGCGCTCATGTCCCAAAAGCACCCTGAGTGAAGCTCGCGTCCCACCATATCTTTTGTGCCTTCGCCAACCGCATCTTCCAAGACGCAAGCCAAATTGATGTGACGGTGGCCCCATGACCATCCCAATCAGTCAATCAAGAGATGTCCATCGTACAACCAACAACCACGATAAACCTGAGAGCCTGCACAGTGCAATTGCGTTTAAATTGTCCAACTGACACCCTGAAAATGAAGCTGCCACCAAAACGTCTCAAATCTCCTCGGCGTTTTTGGGTTCCAAATCCCCACTCCCCGGAATCATCCTGGAAGTGGAATCATCCACTGCACAAGAAAGAGCAAACCCGTTTTCGAAGACCAAACCGATGGGTGGCTTTCCATCGCCCGGGACCACTTCGACCTCCCTTTTCAACGCCACCCTGGGCACCCGGGCCCTCGCGCACCTCCACGGGCAAACGCTCGGCCTCCTGGGCCTGCGCCCCAGAACAGATCGAGATCGAGGATGATCCGTGACAAAAGACCTGTATAGAGAGGTCTGATGACCTCGTTTCACTGGAGTTGATCATACAAAAACACGACTCAATGAGGTAAAGGACCAGGCTTTTAGATCTTTTGGTGAGTCTTTGTACCCGTTTACGGGGGCCCCTCAAATCCCGGCCAAGAGGGGGATGTCCGGCCATCTTTGCCACGTCCCCATGATGTCCCATGCTTCTTTTGGGGCATGGGTCGGATGGGGCCCGGGATGGCCCGGGTGTTTCCTTTCGCTCTGCGTGGGGCCGTAGGGCCGCTCAGGGTTCTCAGGGTTCCTCCGAAGCCCCCGAACTGGAATTCCAGGTCTCACTGACTGCACATCCGGATTCCACCAGTCGGAGGAGGGAAGAAACAAAAAGAACCACGCCTGCATCACGTCTCGCCGCTCGCCCCGGACACGTCTCGCAACTCGCGACTCGTCTGGACGCGCCTGCATCCGGAGGGCCTGGGCAATGCGCTGAGCGCCAACGAGGAACTCCAGGGTGAGGAAGACCTGTGTCAGCTGCGGATGATGCTTGAACGCGGCAAGGACGCCCTATGTTGGAAGCAAAGTAGTTTGGAGCTTTGGCATATGTTGTAGATCTATTTGTACTTCGAATCATCCAGCAAGGAATCCTCCGTCCGTCCGAAGCAGCTTCCGCTGTCTTTTTCGCGCCTCCTCCTGAAAGCTGAAGCCTCAGCTGGCCGGAGACGGGGCGTCTGCAGTCTTGCTTCGACCGAAGCACCGACACCAAAGTCACCGGCCGATCGGTATCGAAACATCTCCGAAGCAACCCATGGTCATGGGAACCTATCGATGTTGTGTCCGTTTGGGGGCACTGATACGTACCAAAGCCTCGATATTGTTGTTGCTCTTTATCGTTTGGTCATGGGAAAAGGGCTTCACGGGCTTCACGCCTCACGCTTCAGTATTTGATGGGGACAGGTCCCACAACCAGCTTCAGGCTCTGCTGAAGAGAGTAGAGTAGATGTTGAAGAGACATACTAGCAAGAAGCTACTATATAGTAACAAGTGCATCGCTACTAGTGGCAAGGACGCTACGAACGTAGCTAGGGCATTACTACTACTAGCAAGAAGCTACTAAAAGATCGGTGAGTTGGGGAAAGTCTCAATGGCCTCCTCAATGGCTTGCAGCTGCGTACGCCCATGACGCAATCTTGATAGTAGTGGAGACTTGCCCTAAACTGGGCCAGGGAAGACCATGATTCTGCCTGAGTGATTGACTTCCACTAGGACTTTCAAAGCTCTAAGACTCTAAGACTCTAAGATCCTCAATGACAAATCATCACCTCTGAAAGCATGGCATTCATCTGCACAAACACCCACCGCATCGTTGCAGTTGTCCATCCCACGTCCGAGAACTCTGCCGAAGGCGCTGACTTTCGAACCATCGGAGATGAGCACCTCTTCATCGGACCTCTGGGAAAAAGTAGGTGCAAAAAGAAACAGGCTAGGTGCTCTTGAGAGCTTTGAAAATGGAGCCCACCAATCCTCATGTCCAGAACAGGTGGGTGCGCTTGAACCAGAAATCCATGGACCGATGCGGCTTGGACCCTCGAAGTCTTTCCGCGTCCGACGCCGCATTCGGCCGCCAGACGGGTAGGCCACGCGCTGGTCGTCCACATGGATGGGGTTTTGCGACAACGGGACCAGGCGAAGGAGGGTCCTTAGGTGGGCCATCTGGGCGACGGCCAGGATCGGACCCCCGTCCCGGCCGGCCCACGCAATGGCAATGGCGTCTCCAATGTCACAGACCTATTTCCAGCTCGACATAGGACTGGGCAGCCCGCCCACTCTGCCAACCGGGACTACATAATAAGGGACTGTTGACTTTTCACTCAGACCTTCTTTGGCCAAGCCCCTGCAAGCCTCACTCTTGAGCTTTACGGGGGTGGCGGCCGCTTTTTGCGCATGGACCAAGCAAACCAGGAAATGTTGAAAGTTCACAATGTGGTCCATAGATAAGATGGAAAAATGGACTGGATAGGGGTTCGTTTTGTTTAACAACCCTGTCAACCCTGGTGTTTGCGTCCAAGGCTTGGGGTCTTCATGGGTCTTGTATCCGCATGTCTTCCATCCACCACCCTTGTCTTGGCATGTCTTGCGTTCCAAGCCGCTTCTCCTTGCCCCAAAACCAACTTCGCTCACCCTCCACGGGCCAAATCTCAAAGTGGGTCCGCCCAATCGACGAACAAAGGCGGCGGTCTGGGCTGAGGTGGACGAACATCTCCTTAGGCTGGGCAAACGGTGAAGCCGTTGCAGCATTAATTACCAGGCACACATGGTGGGGGCTACTGAGGTGCATGATACTACTTGTGTACCACGTTTATACCGATCACCTGAATCAGTCCTATGTGCGCTATGTGACGCTATAGGTGCATGATCATTGTTGGCGACCTTCCTATCTTCCATATGCGTTCGAACCTGCCATCGGCCATCCTCCGTGTTGGAACGCTTCTGGTCCAGGGACGGTCGATGGTCTGCACCCCGGAAGAGTCCGAGCCCGTCAGGCCCACAATGGGCGGGCCCCAAACAGAAAGGCTGGGGAACGCCTGAAGAGGCAGACCATTGGGCAAGGGATCAAAAAAAAGATAAAATTGCATCAAAAAACAAATATAATTCAGGGTATCAAGAAAAAAACAAAAATGAATCAATAAAAAAATAAACGGACCCAAACGCGTGGAGGGAAGCGCAATAGTCCAACTCGAAGCAGTGATCAAAAGAAAAACAAAAACGCATCAAAAAAAACAAAAACTAAATCAACCTACACGGATACCTTGGATGGTCCTGTAGGGCCCTTGGGTAGAGACCAACCTATCCACCACAACGGTCGGCCTCTGCCCTCTGTGTTCGGTTCGAAATTGCCAAGAATTCAAAAGATAAGGTGTTTCAGGTTTTGGAGATTCAAGAGGTCACGGTTGAGAAGCAGGACGCCTACATCTACAAAGATCCAAAGGCCTCGACATCCAGACAGATCTAGTGTAAAGGTGTAGAGTCTAGAGACCCACAAAATCTTGCAGAGGTTCAGATCCAGCTCTCCCAAAATTTTACTGGCGTGCTAGAATGGAATGGCTTTCTGCCCTCTAACCTTTACTACTGTACATTCGGGTGGCTTACAGAAGGGCGGCGCCGCAGCCGCGCACACGGATTCAACTCAACTGCGCACACACATTTTATCGGCACTTGTGCCTCATCTGCGCACACACTTGTTAACTCAGCGTGCGCGCACCCCACCATGGGGAGTCAAGTGCGCACACAGGCCCTTTCCCGAATGTTGCTGCGTATTCCAAATCTTACCCTGCGTTGCTCACTTAAAAGGGTAGTCAACTTGGAATAGCCACTTCCTTGTCTATTTTTGTTACTCTCCAGTGGCTCACCAAGGGGTGAGTCAACTTGGAATGAGCACTTCCTTCTCTAAATTTTACCCCTGCATTGCCCACAAAGGGTGAGTCAAGTTGAAGTGGCAACATCCTTCTCTAAATTTTACCCTTGGGTGGCTCACCAAAGGGTGAGTCAACTTGGAAGGGCAACGTCCTTCTCTAAATTTTTTCCCCTGCATGGCCCACAAAAGGGTGAGTCAAGTTGAAATGGCAACATTCTTCTCTAAATTTTACCCCTGCATGGCCCACAAAAGGGTGAGTCAACTTGGCATGGCCAGTTCCCTCTCTAAATTTTACCCTCCAGTGGCTCACCAAAGGGTGAGTCAACTTGGAATGACCTCTTCCTTTTCTAAATTTTACTCTGCCCACAAAAGGGTGAGTCAAGTTGAAATGGCAACTTCTTTTCTAAATTCTACCCTCGGGTGGCTCACCAAAAAGTGAGTCAACTTGGAATGACCACTTCCTTCTCTAAATTTTACCCCTGCATGGCCACAAAAGGGTGAGTCAAGTTGAAATGGCAACATCCTTCTCTAATTTTTAGCCTCGGGTGGCCCACTAAAGGGTGAGTCAACTTGGAAGGGCCACATCCTTCTCTAAATTTTTTCCCCTGCATGGCCCACAAAAAGTTGAAATGGCAACATCCTTCTCTAATTTTTAACCTCGGGTGGCTCACAAAAGGGTGAGTCAAGTTGAAATGGCAACATCCTTCTCTAAATTTTACCCCTGCAAGGCCCACAAAAGGGTGAGTCAACTCGGCATGGCCGCTTCCCTCTCTAAATTTTACCCCTGCATTGGCCACAAAAGGGTGAGTCAAGTTGGAGTGACCACTTCCTTTTCAAAATTTTACCCTGTGCACAAAAGGGTGAGTCAAGTTGAAATGGCAACATCCTTCTCCAAATTTTAGCCTCGGGTGGCGCAACAAAGGGTGAGTCAACTTGCAGCTTTCCTGGCCACTGCAGGCAGCACAGGTCCGTAAGCTGGCCACCTGCAGCAGCACAGTGCTCACAACACTCTGGCCACCTCCAGCAGCACAGCGCTGACGACACTGGCCACTGCAGGCAGCACAGCTCCGTAAGCTGGACATCCAAAGGCCTCGACATCCAGACAGATCTGGAGTGTAGAGGTGTAGAGTCTAGAGACCCACAAAATCTTGCAGAGGTTCAGATCCAGAGACCAGGGGAACAGAGGACCAAAGGACCAGGGGCCTTGCGGTCGCCTCACCTCTTCAAAATTTTACTGGCGTGCTAGAATGGAATGGCTTTCTGCGCTCTAAACTTTACTACTGTACATTCGGGTGGCTCACAGAAGGGCGGCGCCGCATATTTTATCAGCACTTGTGCCTCATCTGCGCACACACTTGTTGACTCAGCGTGCACACACCCCATCGGGGGGGAATCAAGTGCGCACACAGGCCCTTTCCCGAATGAATGTTGCTGCGTATTCCAAATTTCACCCCTGCATTGCTCACTTAAAAGGGTAGTCAACTTGGAATGGCCACTTCCTTCTCTATTTTTTCCCTCCAGTGGCTCACCAAGGGGTGAGTCAACTTGGAATGAGCACTTCCTTCTCTAAAATTTACCCCTGCGTTGCCAAAAAAAGGGTGAGTCAAGTTGAAATGGCAACATCCTTCTCTAAACTTTACCCTCGGGTGGCTCACCAAAGGGTGAGTCAACTTGGAAGGGCA